CGAGGTGCGCGAGGATACCGGACCGCAGCTGACCACGCGCGTTTTTTCCTTGCGCTTGGTCACTGGCAGAACTGCCGTATCCTCGACATGAACGGAGTCTTCAAAGCATGTACAACTGCAGAGGAGAAACGCAGACTGGCGTCACAAGAACCGTTCGACGAGTTTGCCGACTGGATGCTGTGCAACGCTCATTACGCCATTTACTTAGCCGACAACCAAGATCAGGACTGGACGGCTGGATTCGTGACCCAAGCGCATCACCACCGACACCTTTTAACCGGTCGCTGTGCTCCACAAGTGAGAGAACAGGAGCCAGCGATCATTCGGTCGTTCCAGCACGAAGACTTGGCTGCTGTGCGCTCGCTGTTTGAGAGCACACACCTCGAGTTTGCCAAAGGTTCACGCGCTGTACGTCAGTTCGTAGCGAACCGTCTACGCGGCGACATGTTGGACGTCCACCACGCCTTTCAAACACCCAAAGGTACAGAGATCCTGACGAGCGAATTCTGGGTAGCGGAAGTGGACGGTGAAGTCGTGGGTTGTATCGGTGTCAAGCCACTGGATACAGCGTCAACCACCCAAGAGGATCAACATATAGCCGAGCTCTGTCGATTGAGTGTTGCGTCTACAGTTCGACGTCGCGGTCTGGCGTCAGCTTTGGTTCGAGCTGTCGAGACGTTCACCGCGTCCTGTGGAGCGTTCAACGAGATCCGTCTCGAAACTATTGGCGCAATGGAAGGCGCTCAGCAACTTTACCGCTCACTCGGATACGTTGAGCAAGTAGAAAGTGAAAAGCAACACAGCTCTTTCAAGCTCGTACGTTTCCAGAAACGTCTCTAGATAAAAATACAGAAACGGCATCATCACAATGAGCGGTGAGGAGGCAGTGGGGCCGTCAGGGGCTCCATCAGCTTTAGAGCAGCGATATGCTGCAAGTCTCGCCCACTCTAACGGCTTGACACTGGACTTGTCCTCTCTCCAACTGACAGAAATGCCACCTCTCGAGGAGCTGAGTGATCGATTCCCACGACTTCGTCAGCTCAACATTCGTCGGAACTTTTTGCGCTTGCTACCGGATGGTTTGGCTCGAGCATTCTCACAGCTGGAGTCCTTAAATGCAAGTGAGAATGCACTAGAAGAGCTGTCAGCAGCTTCGATCGGCGCTCTACGTAATCTCCAGCGTCTCAACGTTGCTCACAACCGTCTACGCGAGCTCCCAATATCAGCGTTTGAAAGACTCGAAGCACTCGAGGAACTGGACGCGCGAGGGAATCTCATCGAGACGATCAACTTTGACAATGACAAGCTGCCGGTCGGAGATGGACTGTACAAGCTGCAAGTGCTGCTTCTAGCGGACAATCGACTCCAGTCAATTGACCCGACAACGACCGATGTCCTGCCCAAGCTGCGTGTCATCGATCTAAGTGGGAATCCAGAGCTTTTGGATGCTCCGGAGAAACTTCGACGTCTACACGAACGGAATCTGCTACTTCATTCGCGTGCTAAGCGTCGTGAACTGATCGCACGAGCGCTGAGCATCCGGAAGGCTGTGGCCCAAGCTCTCGCTACAGCTCCTACTGCCTCGCCAAAGCGAACCAAATTTATTTAAAATTTAAAAGATAAGATAGATCTTTGCCACTTGAGTGTATTACTGAATAGTACTTCGATGTATCTACTCTCTGACCCACCAGGGTAGGAAGCTGGAGAAGTGGATGAGACCTGTTGTCGGGTCTGCAAGACTTGCAGCGGCGACGGCGAGTTCCTCTTCGTCGAGCGTCTCCCCTAAATGGAAACAGAGCGCATCCAATTGTCTCGTAGAGATGGTGCCGGTGTGAGCTTTGTCGAGCGATGAAAACACGGTCTTGAACGCCTCAAATCGCTCCAACGTTAGTCCCAGCGCCGCATAGTCGATGCCGTATCCGCTTGACATTGTCCAAGCCACAAGGAGTCTCCCAATCGGTTATGCGTTCAGGGCAATTTATATCTAACTGAAAAAAGGCCCCAAATCTCCCGACTGGTCGGCCTTCGTGACTAGCCTTGCAGCAGTCGGTGAAGCTCGTCCAGGACCATTTGGGCCGATGGTCGACACTCTGGCTTCGGATTCAAACAGGCCAGTGCCAGTTTGCGTACATCTTCAGGACAGTCAAGTGTAAAGCTCGGGTGCAACTCACCGCTTACCACGAGACTCAAAATGTGAATCGTCTCCATCTTGTGTCCGTCCGATGTGCGTGCGTCGTAGAAAGGCAATTCTCCAGTGTCTAACTCAGCCAGCACGACACCCAGCGAATAGATATCTGCCTTTTCCGAGTACCTATGTCCCGCCAGCACTTCTGGTGCCGTCCAGTATGCCGTCCCCACACCACTTGTCATTGTCTCGTCTCCACGTCGCATTCGACTCACTCCAAAATCGCTGAGTTTAGCTCCGTAATTGTCCCCGATCAAGACATTTTTTTACTTCAAATCGCGATGCACAATAATCGGCTTCAAGCTGTGGAGATATTGAAGACCACAAGAGATATCTCGGGCGATTTGAGCCTTGTGAGAAGCCCACGAAAACTCGTCGATGCTGTTATTCCCACTTGACTCTGGAATCTTGTCACCGTTTTGATACTGCAGAACGCCTTGTAAGTCTCCCCGCTCCATGTATTCCATAATGAGAAGCATATTCTCGGGGGTATTCCAGGCCACACCTGTAAGTCCGAGTACATTAATATGCTCCAAGGAAGCCATCAGTTGGATTTCGGCTGCAAAAAGCTCGAGGTCGTGGACTTGACGACGCCGATCGCGAGTGAGTCTCTTCACAGCAACAATGTCCCCGCATAAGTGACCCAACCAGACTTCGCCGTAAGCACCCGATGAAATCTGTCGCACCAGACTGATATCCACGAAAGGAACACGACGTGATGCCACCACTGCGTCACTCTGAAACTTGATCAACGAGCTGTTCGTTGTCTCCGGGTGACCTGTGAGCGTCAATGTGCTAGTAAAAGTATTCCGTGGACTGCAGGGAAACCCGGACTCAAAGGTCGTTGTTAAGCGTGCAGTCGTTGCCTTGCTACAGTTAAGCTGTTGGTGGCGATCAGATCCTTTGTGGAGGTATAAACTGTCCTCATTGTTCTCGTCCTCGAAGCTGCCACTCAACGTTGTATCTAGATCTTCTCTAACATTGGCGGTCTGTTTTGACTTGGCAGCTTTGTGGTTCCAGGCGACCCACGTTTGGTGCCCTTCCTTCTCAATAAATGATTGACTTGGGACTTCAAGGATGAAGTCGATGTCGTCCATCATCGAAAACGCGTCGGAGCCTCGACCGCCTAAGATTGCACGCTTTTGCTCGTAGAAATCCTCGTTCTGGTGCAGTTTTTCACGAATTCTAAGCCAGAAAACAAAAGCTGCAATGAGTACGAGTAACAGTAGCACCACACTCGTGATGGTGACAGGAAGGGCAGCTTTCTGCCACCCTGAACTCTGTGTCATCAGAACGCCGCCAGTTCTTCCGAGTTCGAGCCACTGCGGTACAATCTCACCATGCTCTGGCGAACACCAGTCTTTATTGTTAGCGTCATAGACGACACACGGGACTACCATGGACGGCACGATGCACTTCCCGTAGCTATTGAGATCTGTAGCCAAGTGAATCGCCAAGATCGTGTAGTCGATACCAGCGTCTCTCCATTCGTGCCGCTGCATCTCACTCACTGGTACCACATCGTCGGTGCCCCCGTCAGCCCACATTGCTCCATGTACTGGTGTGATACCGTTGGTAGCGGCACATAGACTCACGTTTCCCATTTGATACCCTTTACAGAACAGCGATTGGTAGAATAGGTCTCCATTCGGTGAGGAGCATCTCTGCTCCGTGCATCCAGCACTTCGGTAAGCATTCCTCGAAAGCTGCAACTCTGACATTCGCATGCCACACTTCGTGTATACTTTGACGTAACCAAGATCTCCTGCAGCCACGTAGCCCATATCCCAGACTACCGCTTGCTGTAGCATCGCCGAAAGACTGGCAAATTCCAATCCGAACTCACTCACGTAGTCCACGACCTCGTCAAGGCCACTAGTGTCTGTAATTGCTGCAACTTTATCTCCTGCAAGGTATCGTCGATAGAACTGCTGTGCAAAGTCAGAATGGGTTCCATCGAAAACGTATCGCTCGTCCAAGTGCAGTGTAGCACTTGGATCTCTGCTGGTAGCTACAGCTAACCGCCTTCTTGGCGTGGAATAAATAGGGTCCTCAACATCTTCAGCCGTTAATAGCAGGATTGTCATAGTAGCTACGAAACAAATACCGACAGCCCCGAGCATCGCCGTCTTCGTTCTGGTAGAATAATTGTTGGAAGCCCGATATCGTCTCTTTTGAGACGTTGGGTGGGGCTCTTGAATCTGATCTTCGGACCGTGAGCGGGTTCGTTGTCGAGGTTTTAGATCTGCGTACAGCTCCATGGAGTCGCTGTGATCGAAACTGCTGCCTTGTTCGAGACAAGCCAAGCTGGTTTGAGACCTTTTGAAGTGGAAGGCTGACCGACGTACACATACCTGACTGACTTACGTTTAGACTCAGAGAGGGTCCCAATGCGATGGGCTTTATGTTGGAGACTGAATCTTGTCGGGGTCAGCGATTCTACTTTTACCAACAGCCGTCTCTAGCAATTTGTAAATTATACACCTGGACAGGTTTGTAGGAGGCTGATAAGAACTTGTTATTATTCTGCTGATTTCAAATTATCGTCGCTAAGGAATCGAGCAGTAGATTATTTGAATGTCGGGTATAACTATTATATTTGGTTTGCCGACTGGGTGGGGACCATAAACTTGAAACTATTTGATTTTACTTTTCCTATGCAAGCGAGCAGTGTCAGATATATGATCTAGCATTTGGTGAATGCCATTCACATGTGACACCATAACGCTATAAACGTTACGCATTCATACCGGTGCAATAAACCATTGCCACTCGAATATTTTCTCCCACATCCCTCCCTACCACAATTGGGTACAGTTGTCCTCCTACACCCTTCGGTGATCTGGGCGGTGGAATGCACAGGTTTGGAAGGATCGCCAAAAATAAACCGCGTCCATGTTAACATCTTTGTTCTTGAGAATCAAGGTAGAACGGATTGCCTGCCGCCTTTGTGTCGGAGGACGAGGTGCCAAGTGTTTGCAGTCCACTGTCAGGATATCGATACGCGCTGCTACTGAAGAGGTATTCTCAGTTTGGACAACACGACCGCACCGCTCTGCATCACCCTCCCAATAGCAACACTCAACTAGGACCCGCATTCCAACTCCACACTCCAGCAATGACGCCTACGGAACGATCAAAGACGCAGACGAACCTGAGCGCAAGCTCGAAATTGGATGCGAACAAATTCAGTAGTCTATTGCTTCACAACCCCGTGTTCTCCCGCCGTAGCGTGGGTAGCAACGGCTCGAGCAAGTCTTCGCCAAAAAAGTCGCTTGCAGATCTGAATCCCACCAACCCACTTGCCAGCATCGTCCACCAAGCAGACCGAAACGGCAGACAACAGCCTGTACTTACTGGAAGTCGTCGCATTAGCTGCGAGGGAGCTGCTGCGAATGGAGGACAAGGAAGCTTCCGTAACCTTTTGACAAACTTCATGTCGGCACTTGGAGTCAGTGAACAGCAGCACCAAACAGTGAGGTCGTCACCTACGAAGAAGAAACTTGCCAGTGCTTTGGGCACCACTATTGAGCTTCGGAAAAGCGTCCTGCCTCCTGTTTCTCCTGACGACGCGGCTAAGAAGTGTTTGGTGCTTGATCTCGACGAAACACTGGTACACTCGTCGTTTCGACCGACTTCCAACCCGGATTTGATTATTCCTGTCAACATTGACGGCACCATCCACCAAGTGTACGTTTGCAGGAGACCTGGATGCGAGGAGATCCTCATCGAAATGGCTAAATTCTACGAGATCGTCGTGTACACGGCCAGCCTCAGCAAGTACGCGGACCCACTTCTTGACAAACTGGACCCGGAAGGCGTCATTCGCCACCGACTCTATCGCGAGCACTGCGTCCAGTACGAGGGTAGCTACGTGAAGGATTTGTCGCTTCTGGATCGTGATATTTCACAGACGATCATCATCGACAACGCGCCGATGTCGTACATTTTCCACCCGCGCAACGCCATTGGCTGCTCCAGTTTTATTGACGACCCGAGTGATCGTGAGCTTGAATCGATTTCTCGTTTCCTCACAAAGATTCGTGATGTGGAAGACGTGCGTAACCACCTGCACATGTGGGATGCCGGCTACTGAGTCAGTGGCCCTCCCGCAGCTAACCTACTTTTCGTTAGCGAGGTGCCGCTCGGAATGTAACTACTTCGAAGTAAGACAACAGATACCATAAAAACTTGTAAAATATTTTTATAATTTAACGTTAGTAAACTAAAAATGCGGACCTTTTCTTACATCGGTGCACACAAATTGAGCGAAGTAGTATTTCGAAGTTTGTAGAATATTACATTGTACACTACTACAACTGTGCTAGAGTACTGAATGCACGCATTTAAATAGCAACATTTCCGAAAATATTAAGGTACAAGATCAGCGGTGTTCGACGATCTTCTTGGGTACCGGTATGTTTCATTTTCGAAGCCCCTGGATCTTTACCAATAAGCAGGTTCCTCAAACTATAATTTATAGGGAGTTCTTCGTCTAATAAGAATAGACACCTGCATGGTAGATAGTAAATCTGCAAATAAATAAATTGCACTGCGGCTGTGGAAAATGAATATCTGCATCAAAACCTGGTCGTGATACTAAATTCATGGCTTCGGGGAGAACTTGCTCCTCGAGCGTTGGAAGAGCATCAGAGAAGCGTCAGACCTGGCTAAGGTTGCGGAGTTGGTAGTTGAGGTGTGTGCGAAGCACAAAGTCTGTCGGTGGCACCGGTTTGCAGACAGCTCAGCTGCCCAACAAGGACAATACATTTCGTGAAGGAATCCACCAAATCCATAAGTTATTTAGAAAATATATATTTTAGGTAAATATATTTTTGAGGATACCTGCCAATAAGCGTTTACGTAATTGGACAAGTTATTTTTTTCAATCGTTTACGAAATGAAATTGGTTAATGGAAATGTAGAAACGAGTTAGAAGTTAGCATCCCACTGTTGCATGTGGTTGCGCACATCTTCGACGTCTTGGAACTTGGTTAGGAAACGTCCGATCGACTGCAGCTCACGGTCATTCAGATCATCATAGAAACTGGAGCAGCCGATGGCGTTCCGAGGGTGAAAGGCGTAAGCCATGGGCGAGTTGTCGACGATGATCGTCTGCGTGATGTCGCGATCAAGCAAGGATAGATCCTTCACGTAGCAGCCCTCGTATTGAACGCAGTGCTCGCGATAGAGACGGTAGCGAATGGTGCCTTCGGGGTCCAGCTTATCGAGCAATGGGTCTGCGTAGACGCTGAGACTGGCCGTGTAGACGACGATCTCGTAGTATTTGGCCATTTCAATGAGGAATTCCTCAGCTCCAGGTCGCTTGCACACGTAGACGAGGTGGGTAGAGCCATCGATTTCGACTGGAATGATGAAGTCGTAGTTGTTAGTTGGTCTGAACGTAGAGTGCACCAGGGTTTCATCCAGGTCGAGTACCAGGCACTTCTTGTCGGCATCGATGGGAGATGCAGGCGGCAAGATGCTCGGGCGCAACTCAATCGCTTTGCTGTTATCTTCGGCAACCTGAACCTTGGAGGTGGACGATGCATTTTGTTTAACCTTCGCCAGATCTTCCTGCTGCTGCTGCTGCTGCTCGTGAAGACTAAGTGCCGACCATATATTCACGAAGATGTTGCCGAAGCTCCTTCGTGGCTGGGTCTTCCTCACGCTCGGTCCTCCGAGGGACATGCGACGAGACGAGAGAATTGGCTGCTGCTTGCCATTTCTGTCAGCTCGGTGGACGATGCTTGCCAATGGGTTGGCCAGATTGAGATCCGCGAGCTGCTTCGTCGGTGGTGCCGGTGCTCCGTTTGCCATCGTGGTGCAGCTTGAACTTCGGCCCGACAGCATTTCGTTCATGGCAAACTTCTTTAAGGGGGTGGCCCCTTCAGGCTTCAGACTCGCGTTCAGGTTCGACTGCGTCCTCGATCGTGTGGTCGGCATCGTCATCATTGTGGTGGTTGGCGTAGCGCTGCGTCTGGATACGCTTAGAGTCCTGTCCGAAAGGGGTCTTGGAACTGATGTGGTGACCTGTAGTTTTTGTTGTTGTGTAGCGGAGGGGTGCTGGCTTGTGTAGAGTGGTGTCTTGGGAGCAAGTTTTCAAATGGATGTCGTTCATGGCCCCGCTGTGGCTTCCACGCGACAAACACAATCTTATCGCCCTCGAATCTCGTCCGTGCTGGCCTCGATCTGTAAGGCAACCCGTTCCTTCTTTCATCCAATGAGCCAACTGTTTGCAAATGACGTTGTGCTTATTTTTACCTGCTCAACCTGTGCAATTTACATGCGCACCTACACCGAGACATAGCTACATGCTGCCCACTTGCTGTGCAGGTTAATGGAGTCCACGAGGCGCCCCCGGCTGTACATATTCGACAGTCAAAGCCACTTTTCGTGAGACTACATGAGAATATGAGCACTTTTTGGCCGTACTTGTACCAATTACCTTTGAAGTGATGATTTTGCTAAGATCTTCTGGCCCGACAATAATGCTCAGGGAAATAATATCTGATAACATGCCAGGGCCATTCTTATCTCGAATTCGTAGATGTTTACATTTAAACAATGATCCGATTAATCTAGCGACCTCACATAATACTGGAATGGCTAAACATGACGGAAAAGTCGATAGCATCTCGGGAAATCGGCATATTCGCTGAACCATGAGAGAATAGCAGACTTGTACTTAAGTGGGTAACCATTCTTGCAGCTCTACTTCATGATCACTACTGCACATAGTGCCTTCATTTATGGACTGCTTCTACGTAAGTATTAAATAAGTCACTTTTTAAAAAAAATGTTGGGGGGGCGCCTTGAGCGATGACTCATCAACATGCACGACCACAGCTTTACTAAAACTAAATGCTCTATAGCCACCACGTATCTATGTCTTTGCACATCGCTCCGTGGTGATGCACTGGTGCTAAGGACGGTGATAAGAGATTGAATCGCAACAAGTTGGAGAACGTGAACCCAGCCAGCGCAATTCACTGGACGTGGTCTGTAACGAAGACCTGCCTCAGCGTAATTGTATTAATAGAAGATGAGAATTAATGACGTATAAAAATAGGCGCAACGTCATCAGGCTGGGTGGATTATGGATAAGGGAGGAACGGCGAGGTCAGAGCGGACGAGACTCGAGGGTGGTAAGGTTTTGATTGTCAAGTGGCTGTCTCCAAGGCCCTTCCATATATCCATTCGAAAACTCGCTTTCAACGCACTGCACTACCCCCCCCCCCCCTCCCCCCAACAGTTACAGCAACAACAACAATTCCAGCTCGCAACTCCAGTTCAAGACCCTCGTTCGACCAGAACTTTTCAAGCGTCTCGCAGCTAACGAGACAATCTCAGTAAAGATGACGATGTCTGCCGCACAATCGAAGACACAGCTCGCGGATCTGAATATCACCTACCCACTGGCGAGCATCGTCCACCAGACCGACAGAAATGGCAAGCAGCAACCAATTCTCAATGGTTTTCGTCGCAAGTCCCGCGAAGCATCGCGTGCGAAGGAGATGCAGCAGCGAGGGAGTCTTCGCCACATCTTTGGGAGTGTTTTGTCAAAATTCAGTCTCAGCGAGCAGCAGGAAGATCAGCAAAAGGCAAAGCAAGGCAGACCGCTCACTTCCAAGATTCAGACTGTCGGTACAACGATTCAGTTGCGTCCGAGTCTCTTGCCGCCAGTTTCCTTCGTCGATGCCGACAAGAAGTGCCTGGTACTCGACCTGGATGAAACCCTGGTGCACTCCTCGTTCAGACCAACTAACAACTACGATTTCATCATTCCAGTCGAAATCGATGGCTCCACGCACCTCGTCTACGTGTGCAAGCGACCTGGAGCTGAGGAATTCCTCATTGAAATGGCCAAATACTACGAGATCGTCGTCTACACGGCCAGTCTCAGCGTCTACGCAGACCCATTGCTCGATAAGCTGGACCCCGAAGGCACTATTCGCTACCGTCTCTATCGCGAGCACTGCGTCCAATACGAGGGCTGCTACGTGAAGGATCTATCCTTGCTTGATCGCGACATCACGCAGACGATCATCGTCGACAACTCGCCCATGGCTTACGCCTTTCACCCTCGGAACGCCATCGGCTGCTCGAGCTTCTACGATGATCTGAATGACCGTGAGCTGCAGTCAATCGGACGTTTCCTAACCAAGTTCCAAGACGTGGAAGATGTGCGCAACCATGGGATGCCAACTATTGATATCCAGTCTATTTTTCCGGTACAATTTCATCTTGTAAGATAATGGGGTCGAATTTAAGTATTTTCTGCCTTACCTTTTTAGTTTTGTCGACCAGTTTACAGTCCGTACGACCGACCGAACTTTAAAGGCTAGTATCTTCACGCTTACTGATCTAATTGAATAAACTGAAGCGTCAGCCGGTTTTTGAACCCCCAAAACAGTAAATTAGCCTACCTTCGGATCGCTCCGAATTTTATTACGATAAATCAATTTTACTGGAACAGGTAAGATAAAAGCCGAGCTGCCAAACGGTGATAGGTGGCTACACTTATGCCTAGGTTTTGTATGGGAGGGGTGAGCGAGGGAATTAGTGTTAAAAAGGCCCTAGCAAAATATATTTTAAAAAGGTTTAACGATCGAATGGACTCATTTTCGCAAGTAGTCGATGACCAAATCAGCGGCCATTTTAACCTAATCGCGTCCACGTAATTTTATCGCAAATTCACATTTTACTTAAGAAGAGCTACGCTAATTATTTCGATTAATCCATTTATCGCGTATTAAGATAATGAGCAGCACGTAAAACCAATCCAATACTTAAGTTTACAACCATTTATTAAATGAAACAATTATTTCACGTGTGTTGGCAAAACTTTTTAACACTATCTAGCCGTGCTAATTAGTCTAAAAATGAATGCCCATAGCTCCCAACTGTTGCACGAAGACCCGGAAGAGCTACACGGAGCTTGCCTTACATTTACTGACGGAAATACCGCCTACTAACTGTAAATTTTGCTGTTTCATCAATATATTATTTTTTTGCCAAAAAATATTACCCTACCCACGACATGACAAAATAAAGCATTTAAGTGAGGTGAATAAGGAAAAAGACGACAGTTTTTTTTTAAAAAAAGTTTGCGGGTGTTTTATTGCCATCTACGGTATTCAAAATATTTTGTTACAGATTAAAGCCCCTTTCTTTAAATATCACTCTCTATCTTTTGTTTTGACCTACAAAATTTCGAATTTATAATTCTTTGACACTTTGTCATGCACTATGTAAGATAGCACAATATCTTCCCCCATGTTACTTGTCTTGTATGGCTTGACGCGGCGCATATGAATACCTTCCATGTACTTGCCCTTGTCAATCAGTAAGACTCCGTTATCTCGAGCAGCAAATACTTGATACGGTCCTTCAAATCACGCTTGCAGGTTTGGGAACGTGGATCGTTACGAGCCACCATGACCCGGTCTTCTGGTTGATACTCATGCTCGTCTCAGTTCGCGTTCTCTCGCCGATTGGCCCTCTCAAGCTGAAGCTGCTTCCGTTGCTGCTGTTGCCACCAATCTACGTTAGAGAGGTAATCGAATAGCATCTCTCGTCCGAATGCCGCCTGACTAGGCGATAGAGTCGTCATCGTGTGATGCTGCGCTCGCAATCCAAACATTACAGAAGATAGACAAATTTCCTATTCTTCCTCTGTAGCGATCGCCTCTGTGCGTAATTTGCTATTAATTGAGCGATGCAAATTGCTCAATGACCCCACTGGTTTGCGTTTTTTTGTTGTCGTACTAAGTCGTTCAACACCATAACTTTCCAACAATTCCCGAAATTCCACCCCCTGGTCACAAATACATCTCTCGGGTCTTAGATATCGGTTAAACCATACTTGGTCGACAATTCTAGCAGCTTCTGCACTCGTTCCGTCCTTCATAGCTGTAATCTGCATTAGTCGGGTGCTGGTGTCTATGATTGTCATCGCCCGCCATTTATGGTGTCTTCCGAGAGGTCCGAGTGTGTCTACTGCTATTTCTGCCCACGGTCGGACTTCTACTGTTTTTACCGGAATCTGCCCATGCTTCGCTTTTCGGTCCTTGCATTGAGCACACTGCTCACAATTGCGTACCCAGCGACGTACAGCCTCGGTCATGCTTGGCCACGTCATCACGTTCTTTATTGATTCGAGCATAACCTTCTCTCCAGGGTGGGCCAACCACGTATGGTACGTATTCAGTACCTTAGATACCAGCTCTAGTGGCAGTACTATCTTCCCGTCTGTTTTGCTGACAAACACCGTAGTGTCGCCAATCGCACGCCGTGCAACTTTCGGTCCTTCGTGAAGGCCGGATCGATGCTGCGCTTCTGCGATTTCACCGAGCGAAATCGACCGCACTGGGGTCTTCTTTGTCTGACTGAGCAGCACTTAGATTTGCTTGAGGGGCCTCTGATTTGATCGGTAATCGTGAGAGAGCATCTGCGACATCGTTGTCGTGGCCTCGAATGTATATCATCTCGTGGCCACACTCTTCAATCTCGAGACGCCATCGTACTGTTTGTTCATTGTTGAATGCGGCTTGAATAGAATTTTGTGGTCCGTGAATACTCGCAGCCGACGGTTCCACAGAATTGAGCGAAACTCGCGCAATATTTCTAGTACACTTAGCAACTCTTTTTTGTTCATCGTGTTATGCTCCTGCGAGGCATTACATTTGCGGGACCAAAACGCTAGCGGTTTTCCTTCTGCATAATCACTTCACCTAATTGATGTGCTGACGCATCCGTATAGATGTCAAACGATTCATCAAAATCAGGATAGGCCAACATTATTTCCTGTGTGATCATGTCTTTGGCTTTCTGAAAGCGAGGTCCTCACGCTCTGTTCATTGATATGGTCGATTGTTGGACGTAAGAGCCGTCAGAGGTGCCAAAATTTCCGATCGTCCTTTCCACATATCCTTGTAGTAATTCACCATCCCAAAAAGCTTCGTAGATCTCTAATATTGCTCGGGCGATCCAGTTGCATAATCGCATCTATCTTCTTTGTGATCGGTCTTTTTCCTTCCGCACTCAGATGAAATCCTAAATATTCCACTTCCTGCATGCAGAATTTGCTTTTCTTGGAATGAAGAATAAGTCCTGCATCTTGGAGCCGCTGTAGTACGACTCGCAAATGATTGAAATGTTCGTCAAAGGATTTTGATAGTACTAGTACATCGTCCAGGTAGGCACGAACGAACGATAAATCGCCTAGCAACTGTTGCATCATAGCCTGGAATTCATCTCGTGCTGTACTGATTCCCATGGGTAGTCGGTGATACCGATATTTCCCCCAAGGTAGCACGACTGCTGTATATGGACGGCTTTCCCCAGATATTTCCCGACTTTAAAACCCCATGTCCAAGTCTAATGCAGACACATACTTTGGTTGTGGCAACTCGCGCACGAAATCCTGAATTTTGTGCAAGGGATAGTATAACCGCTTCAAGCACCGGTTTATTCCACGAAACTCCGAGAGAAATCGCACAGTACCATCCTTCTTGGGTATCACGAGCACCGGTGCTGCCCAAGGTGAATCTTTATCCGGTTCGAGAACTCCTAGCATCACCAAACGTTCCACTGCACGTAAAACCGCTTCTCGATAAATTAGTGGGATCGAATATGGCTTGTGGGTCACAGGAAAACTTCCCGGCCTCACTGAAAGCTTATATGATTTTCCTCTAAACCATCCTATGCCTTTGAGAAAGGCCACCTGGTATGCCCGAGTACTTCTAAAAGTCGACCCTTCTGCTCCTCAGTCAGATGTTGTTTTGGTACGAGAGCCTTCAAGTTGACTTCTCTACCTTCGGCATCCAACACTCTTAAAACTCGGTTTTCTTTATAAAATAAATGCAAAAGCTACTCGGTTCTACGGATTCAGGTCTCAGCTCCATTCGTATTGAAATTCCATCCCATCGAATCTTACGCTCTTTGTAATCCAGCACTACTTCTTGGTCCTGCAAGAAATCGTGCCCAAGGATGATTGGGTAAAGCAACTTGTCGGCTATGTTAAAACTTTCCGTACACATCCGCTTATCCGAGAATTCAGGAAGGATGAAAGGTAGCTGATTTTTTTCCACAGTATCGTGTTTCTTATTGTTCACGTCAAGGTAGCTCCCCATTTCCCCTTTAGATTTGAACCAGGAAACTACCTCTTTAGTCACATAGACGCCCCCGTATCCACTAGTGCTGTAAAGGATTTCTTACTTAAAGGATGTTTTAGAGTCACCTTCAGTCGTAACGCTGGCGGTGTAATTGATGTGGCTCCCGCCGCTGCACAATGATCCTCTTTGTTCTGGGTAGAATACCAATTACCCAATGGGTCATCGCGGTTGTTCTCCGCATTATCCATAACCGACATTGCTGCTGCAGCCGTATGGTCATTCCACGGTGTTCTGGAGTCGGGTCTATCTTGCGGTTTCTTTCCTCCTTGCGTCTTACCAACCCGAGGGCGATAACGAGGCGAAGCCGGGTTACGAAAACATTCGTCACTTTTGTGATCCTTCCACACGTTTCCCCGAGATTTGCAATACTGACATCCTTCTCCTGCCTCCAGATGCCTCTTTTTAATTCTAGTCGTGGTCCGCTTAAACTCTGCTTTGGCCTTCTGGTTAGCCAAGTCCCGCCTTGCGCATTTGGTTTTTCCTCGCTTCTCGTTAGCTTTCTCCAATTGCAGTTCTACTCGCTCACAATCCACGTATCAGTCCTTCAAATCGTTGACCTTTTCCCCGCGTCGCTGAATCATCACTTGCATCTGCCAACTGCGTGGCATTCCTGCACTTAAGTACCGACACTTTTCCGAGCTCGTTAATGCGGTGCCGTCGTCAGGAAGTATCCATGATTCGAGCTGTAGCAAATGGTTAAAATGTGTGCCGTACTCCCCACCGAGAGGCTCCGTGTCTTGCGGAGACTTCGAAGTTCTTCGTGTAGCATCTCCCGAGTTCCTGGGGGACAATATTTTTCTTGCCAATGTTTCCATCGCGGCCGAGAGGATCTTTATGGGCGGATCTGCCCTACCTAAACTCTCTGCGTATTGTTCGTTGAACTGGTCAAGGTCGTTGCCTGACAAGCGTTGGGTGACGACTTCATGCAGGTCTCTCATCGACTCTGTGCTTTCGTCCAGACGCAGGAAGCTATGCACTCGAGTGAGTCTCAGCTGAAACTCTAACCAATATTTCCAGCCACCACCACGAAAGGGCTTAATTTCCAAAGACTTCTTCACTCTTCCTTGCGACTTGAATCT